TTCTCCCCGCGCGTTCCCGCGTTTCTCGTGTTCGTGGGATCGTCGCGCCCAGGACTCCTCGGGAGCGGAGATGCAGGGTGCTGGCAGGGCTCCAAAGCTGGGGAGGGGGGAAGGATTGCGTGAAGTGGCTCAGAATAAAGAGCCTGTCCCCTCTGGAAGGACAACAGCGCCTGCAAATACATCTGCGTGGTCCTTGGCTGGATCCTCGCAATTACAACAGCGTTAGGGATTTACAGGGACTCTGAAACACGCTCTCGGTCCGCTCGCCTTTCTCCTTGTCCGCTCCCTTTCTCCTCTCCCCTTGGGAAATCCGCATTGTGTTGTGGAAACGGCGAAATTTCTCTCTGGGTGGCGTTGGCTCGCCTGAGGCCGGGGGCCGGAGCGATGGCTCACGCGGGCTGGCGCTGAAAAGCACCCCCCGAAATTCCCAATCCGCCGCTTAGAGCCAAGAATATAAGAACAAAGGTAATCTTCGGGGCTTTCAAGGGCCCCGGGGTTTTGAAGGCTTGATTGTAATTAGCATAATTAGTGCAGAATTTTATTTTTGCAGGGATAGGACTGAAAGAAAAGAAGCTAAATATTCCATTGATTTTAAATATAAAATAAACACTGGTAAGAAAGGTCCCCTTTTCCAGGCTGGAATGGGCTGAAAAGCAAACATTCTTGCTCAAGCTTTGCTGAGAAATCACTTTTTCCATCTAAGGAATATTTTTTTTTAAAGTGTTGCGTTTCAATTGATTTATTAACGAGCTAAAGCCCAGGCATGAGGTGCCCCTTCGCTGTACGGATTGTAAAAATCTGTCATTCAAGCTTTGGGAATATTTTCCTTCCTTAAAATGAAGGTAACATTTGCATCGCTGAGCGGCATGCGCTGGAGCTCTAAATGACTTGTTGTGTGTGGCTTCTGGGGAGCTACGTGTGTTTTATTCGTGCCTGGTCTGCTCCCGCTACCTCGCTGCAGCAAGGAGCAGAGAGAAAACACTCGCCTGGGGCTTACCTGCACCTGCCCGGCAGCTGCCTGCGACAAGCAGGTCGCCTGTCCTTCAGCGGAAGGTGTACGTGTATCACATCCCAGACTTTGAGTGGGTAAAGGAGGTTGAAACATGCATTAATGCACTGCAAATTTCTGATTTGTCCTCACTCTTCCCATTTACACTCAAAATAATTAAGAATTCGGGTTATTTTGTTTTCCTATTGGTTTAGTTTACAGCGAGGGGCACCCTTTGGAGGTGAGTGGGGTGGTTTTTCCGGGTGCCCCCTCTTGCTGGCCAGAACCGCTCGTCTTCCCTTCAGGCCACGAGGACTTGGAGGGGTGAATTCGGAGCAACGAAGCCCACGGTGTGGTGAGGCTTCTCGCTCGCAGCACCCAGTGCCGCCGCAGAGGTGGGTCACCCCGGGCGCTTCGCTTCTGTCGTGGTTTAACTCCGGCCACCAAAATACCACGGTAAAGAGATTTAACCCTTTCCTGGCTGAATGCAGCACAGCTTCTCTCCGCGGAGGTGTGGGAGGGTGAGCAGAGGTGGGCGCTGCGGGGTCTGGGGGCACTGGGTGGTGGTGTGCGCCCCGGGAAGGCGGTCAGGGTGCTGTAGAAGCAGATCGCGATAGCCCCACAAATCGTTTTGATCTTTATTTCCCAAGGACCAAACCAGTTACGCCTGTCGGAGGGCAAAAGCCGCAGAATCAGATTTCGTTGGGTTAAAACGTTCCGTTTGCCGGGGCTGGTGTTCGCGGAGCTGGTGTTCATTCAGAGCTGATCGCTCCCCGAGCGTGAACGCGCTCTTCCAGCCCAGGGCCAGCGGGTGAGCGTAGAAGCTGCTGCCCTCCCCGTGGCGGGTGCCGGTGAGGGGCCGGCGGGTGCCCAAAAACCTCCTGCGCCCTCCCTTAGGGCGGGAGGGAGGGATTCCAGTGCTGTAAACAGCTTATTCTTTGAATGTGGTTAACAACACCAGCAGCAAGGAGTGACTAACAACACGCGGACTTAGAAGCGCCCGTGAATCCGCTTCCTGGTGCCGGGCATGAAAGGATGCAATTATTTTTCATACCCTTTTATTTTCCCTTTACGGCAAGCTAAGCAAAGCAAGTTTGTCAGAGGCAGAGTGCTCCTAATTCGGTCTCCGGTGACCTCTGCGGCGGTGATTGGCAGCCGGGTGTCAGGGAGGAACTTGTGCCTGTGAGATAGAAATGAGCAGAACAAATGCCGTAGGACAGCTCCGGGTCCCTGGGGAACACCAGCGGGAAAAGGTGAAAGAAGTGCAATTACAGGAGGTTTTCAGCACAGAAAGTTAATTAGCTACTAAATAGCGTTTAGTGCAGTTCAGCGTGGGGAAATTTCGGTTTTGAAAGGAAACAGATCGATGGGCAGCCTGCGGAAGGGGCTTTGGGAAAGTCCACGTTGACACTAGTGTACTTGGTGCTGTAGCGGCCTGGGCAGTTTCTCAGTGGTTTCCCTGACGAACAGGGAGAGCTCTTGGATTGGCTTCCACGTGTTTGCCTTCCATGGGAGGATGTTTTGACATTTCATTTCAGGAGTTCTGGTTAGGCTTTCGTCCAGAGCATCCGACACATTTCTCCCTATTCACCGAGGTCAGTGTAAATAAATTCAGTTCGGGCTCTCTGCCGCAACACGACGGCAGGCTCCGAGCATTTTCAGCCAAAGGGTGAATTTAACACAGTTCTTAACCCAGTTACTCATCTGTGCCCATCAGGTGCGAGTAGCTGGGCCAACAGGAGCATTTCGCTGTCGGCGTCTGGCCCTGGGACGCTGGTGCCATCCGGCGATGTCCTTCCGGTCCTTCTCTGCAGCCCAGCTCGGAACGACCGCAGATACTGCTGCAGACTTTTTTTTAATCCCAGATGACCAATCTGTTTCCTTTTGTACATCTTTTGTATGTCACTGAAGTCAGCATGTGTCACAGTTCATAGTGTATGTATGTTGGAAAGCGTCAAGGACACTTTTTTTAATCAGAACAACAGATGTGGGGTCCAGCTGCCCGATATTACCTCACTGTGTACAGTCACTACACTAAATTCTCAGGCATTTCAGGATGGATTTGAACTTTTATTGATGGACTGTTTATTTGAAGCTACCTGTCAGATGTTTTAGGCAGGTGATGCTGCCATGAGCTGGAAAGAAGAGGAACCCAGAAGGTCAGTGCCTGTGGGGAATGGTGGAGAAACAGAGACATACTGGCCCCTGGGGAGGAAGAGGGGCATGTAATTCCCATTACATGGATGCTCATACATTACGATGATACTTATTGTCTGCAAACGATGCTTCACGAGCCAGCGTGCAGGAATAGCTCGGGCTGTACGGAAGGCTGTGATTAGGGAAGGCGTGCTTTAGCACAGTGGTGATGGAGAGCCAGCTGAGGAGGGTTTGGCTCTTGCGGGAGGCTCTCTGGGAATGGGGTGGTGCGCACTGACAGCTTAGGTAACTGCCACATCATGGCTATAATCTTCAGCCCCTCTCCCTCTTCTAATTACGTTTGGCACATCATGTCATAAAATGAGTTATTAGCTCTTTGTTGCTGAAATAGTCTTCCCCTGTAATTGGTGCAGGTCTGCCCCGGCCCTACACCAGAAACAATGCTTGGGTTTGTCTCTCTTCATGCTGTGGGTGTGTGCACATGCCTTGACCGAACGGTAAGTCAGGTCCCATTACCGTCTCGCTTGCCGTCTGGGGCTGACCTCCTCGGGCCGGGCACGTGAGAGGGTTCCTGCGTGGTGGGAGTGGGACGCAAGCGCCTGCTGTTGCAGGGGCTACAAAAGCTCAAGGACTGTAGGTGCGGTTGATTGTGGAGTGGAGAAAACACGTCACCACCTGATCTTGCTCACCAGCAAGAACGAGGTGTATTTTGAGACTAAAGAGTAATGGGGAAAAGGCTTAAGTGGGATCCTGACTATACCTGTGGGTTTCCTGCCTCATGTTTTACTAATCCTCCTTATTTTTGCCACCCCCCCATCCCTTTTATTCCCATGGACCATTGCACTTGTTCTCTTGTTTTGCTGAGCAGTGCTGTATGCTAGCTGGCGCTTTGTTTTTCCTGAATCCCGCAGCCCAAAGTCTCTCTGGAATGTTCCTCCAGCTATTTGCCTTGCAGTGCTTCAGCTCCCTGCTTTTGCAGGGCACTCTGCTAGAGATGCCTCATCTAACAGACATAATCGTCTGACTTTGATGAATAGTAAGTTGGAGAATTCTCCCCTTGCGTCTGTGTGTCTTGTGTGTGCATTGAGAGGGCTCCCCAAAATCCACAAAATGAGCTTTGATCGTACGACTCGTTGCCTAAATACAGAATGATCTCAGTATTAAAAGTATTTTTTAAAGTAGCCCAAAGATTCGAATCTTTTCCATTTTTTTCAATCAATATATACTGGAAAAAGTCATTTTAAGCGCAGCGAGGTTTTTCTCTTCATTTCCACAGCGACTAAGTCTGCACCGATGTAGGCGGGGGTACTCACTGCATCTGTACAGTGTATGAATGTCCGTGTTTATCAGCCTCTCCGAAGGGCATGGGGGGCACAGATCTCTCTGATTTCATCTTCTACATCAGTGAAAACAGCGGAATTTCCCTGGGCTGCACGCTCCGAGGCACGGTGCTTACCCGCTGGTTTTTTGCTCTCCAGAACGGATAAATCCGTTTACACGCGGTGCTTAGGATTGCTTCCGCGTGCGCTGGCTGCGTGTGCAAGCTTGTCACTGGCGCCTAAACGTGAACTGTTTGTCTCGTAGAAGCATTTCCAGAAAACAGGACCTTGCCAGCCCCTTTGTGACGGGGCTCTCCAGCCCCCGCGTTTTTGGGTAACTCCCTGCGTACCCGAAGCAGATGTTGGTTCCGTGGCAGAAGGAGCTGCAGCTGGCAGTAGCGTTCAGTACTGAGGAGCTACACGATTTCCCGGGATCAAAGCGAGCCTGCCCAGCTCTACTGGTAACCACCATTTCTTGGCAGTCATCTCTGCCACTGGTCGTTTGATGCTCTTGAAGAACAGGCACGTTGGCCCCCATGACGAGGGAACTGCGGGACAACACTCCTCAGAGCCAGCCCGTCTTCCAGCCCTTTGTCACACTGACCAGTTCGTCTTTGCCCGCGTTTTAGAAAATTGGTTGCCCCTGCTTAGTCCTTGAGCTAGTTTGAGTCATCTCTTCCAGGAAAATCCTGTGTAACCAGCTGTGGCTGTTATGAAGTGTTGCTCCACAAATACCAGCTGCTCTTAGCAAGCCGTCCAGCGCGAGTGGCTTCTACCAGGACTCCTGTTACGTCTGCATTAACGTGAGGTACCGAACGCCGTAGGGAAGCGTTGTATTTTGCAGTATCGCCAGAGAGGAACGCTTCTTTTCTCACAAAGGCCAGGACAATTTCTGCGGAGAAATTCCCAAGGCGCAGGTGACTGTGTATAGCTGTACCTGTGAGACTGGAAGTATCCCGGTGCCTGTCCTAAAAATACCTGCTGTCGTTCCTCTCGGGTGAGTTTGGGTACGATCCCTGCTCACACGGTGATAGGGCCATGTCGCTTCCAAGGCCTCAGCCTCCAAACGGCTGGAATGCAAGTTTTGCTTTTCTTTCAGAAAAATGGAGCAGCAGAACTTCACGAACAGAGTAGCGGAGCCGCTCTTTTAGCTGCATGTAAACCAGACCCCATCTCATCTACATAACGCTGCAGAACTAGAGGAGGGGGCTCGGGGATTTATCTCCCACGCGGGCGGGCGCTAAGGTTTTTTGAGTCGCGCGTTTGAACCGGGCGGCTCGCCGGGGCTTGGTTAAAAATTTAACCCACAACTAACAGGGATGTCCGGAGACCTGTCCGTTGGAATGCAATGACCTGAGCCATGGGGAGATGCTGCAAAGAAGGCTCGTCCCTGTGGAAGAGGCACCGTAGCCGGGCTTGGAAAGCATACTGATGTGCTGCGCTGCAGATGCATGCTGAGTGTGTGATTTTCAGCGTTCAGTGCCTACATTGTTAGATAAGCGGATTAGAAAACATTGCATAAAGTGGCATTGCAGGGGGCTGTCTTTATACCTGCTCCTTGCCTTGTTTTGCAAACCCTGATTTCACAGCGGAACCCATTCAGAGCTTGCGCTGAGATTGTTCACATGCATTGGCCTTTTTAAGAATCCAGGGGTCACAGTTTCAGATTCACTCAGTTCTCAAAGTAGTGATATTTTTCTTTATGATGAGGACCGGTGGCGGGCATGTGGGGGTTTTTAATCTCAGCGCCATCTACCCTTAAATATCTGGGGTGCAGTGGGCTCCCAAAGTACTGGGGAACGGTTGGGTTCACTTTCCCTAATTTGCGGCTGGTTGAAGAGCTCCTGTGTAATTTCCCGCTCCTTAACGCCCCCAGGTTTCAATTTTGCAAGCTGAACCCAAGTTTATGCACGTGAATCCAGGCTTGTCAGGTCCACTTGCAATGGCGTAACGAGAACCTCGAGTTCAGGGGAAAGATCTTTGGATCTTGCTGGCCACCGAGGGAATTTGCCAGAGGAGATTCCTAGACAGCACTGCGGTGGGACCGCGCTCACTCCGGTCCCGGAGCGCAGCGGCTGGGCTGCATGCTGAGGAGGTTGCTGGAGCTGTGGGACAAGTCTCTTCCTTGGGGAGTTATCCACTGAGTGCTGCTGGAGCTGCTGCAGCAGCCTGGCGAGCTTCTGCGGTCACGTTTTTGGGATGGCCCGAGGTTTTCCATCCCAAGGGGTCACCAATCCCAGAGGCATAATGGTCTGAAGGGGTCCTGCAGCTCAGGGCTCTGTGGCGTGGGCTGGAGGGAAGGCAGGTGCCTGCTGGACCTGCTCCCAGACTGGTTTTCCTGCTGCGATGAAGGAGCAGGGGACGGGCTGTTCCTCGGACGAGTTGGGCTGTTCCCACCCTGGGCTTCTCAATTCTGCCGTCTGAAAAATCGGTGTTTTGGGGAATGGTTTTCACTCCCCAGTTCTCTGGGGAATTCAGGAACGGACCAATAATAGGATAATTTTGGGGATGGTAGGGGATTAATTTAAATAAAAGTAATGTAACCTCTACGTGGGCTGTTGGTTACTGAATTCCGATCGCAGAGCTCCCACAAGAGATTTTTGATGGGGAGCATCTGCGGCGGCTGCACCCGAGCGCAGGCTCTGGCTGATGCCTTGCGGGGGTTTCTTCCTCCGCGCTCTCCTCCGCAGGGACACGTGTGACAACCGCATGACCTGCTCCACCAGCTCTGCCTCCAGCCTCGACACCAGCGCCCAGTTCCCGGAGAATAACGGGCAAACGCAGAGCACCAGATGGGACGAACAGCAGAAGGTGTTCGCCCTCGAGCAGGTCTGCGGTGTCTTTAGAGTGGACCTGGGACAAATGAGATCCCTTCGCCTCTTCTTCAGGTAACGTATCGCTGCGTGTGATGCTCCTGTGTGCTCTGGGACAGTGTGTGCTGGGCTCAGTGGAGGCAGATGCCTTCTGCAATCCTCCCTGGAAGTCTTTCCCAAACGGTTGTCTCCAGGAAAGCAGGTGTCAGCCTTCCCAAGGAGAGAATTACAGCCATGGGGCCTATAGGATATTTTTCCCTAGTAAGGTAAAGGTTGCTCTCAGCTATCTTACCAGAAATGTTTAAAATAACCTGGAGGTGTGGAAAACATTTACCTATGGTACCTTCTCCCTTGGCTGCCCCTCACCAGGACTCCTTTAGGGTCTTGCAGCTCTTGGCCTCTTCACTTATCTTTCAAATCATGACAGAAGTTATTAAAAACACTTTTACCATCTCTTCTCACTCCCTGCTTCTTTAGACATGGCTGTGTGCCACCAAGTCCGCTCATCCCTAGGAGCTGGCTCGGTGTGCTGCCTTCGTGTTGCTGGGGCAGACCTCGTGGGTTTTTGTTCTCCAGGGAAGACATAATTTGGTTCCTTCCCGTGGTGGAAGGGTAAAGGAGTGCCGTTACCAGGCACAAGCAGAGCTTCTGGGGGAAAATGGTCACTGTGGCCACGTAGCATCGCTGAACATCTCAAGCTGGAAGGGACCCATAAGGATCATGGGGTCCCAGGGCTGTAAAATGACTTGTGCGCCCCATTTTAAGGGATAACTTGTTGTAATTTGCTTTCCAGTCTCTCTCATCTGTTGTTCCCCCTTCCCACTGGGCTCCTCCTTATCCTGGGCAATAAATGCCTGTTGTTTCCCGTTGTTTCGTCCCACAGCGATGAGGCATGCACCTCTGGACAGCTGGTCGTTGCGAGCAGGGAGAGCCAGTACAAGATCTTCCACTTTCACCATGGCGGCCTGGATAAACTCTCCGAGGTGTTTCAGCAGTGGAAGTACTGCACAGAGACCCATCTCAAGGACCAGGTACCTGAGCAAGGATGATGGAGCAGAGAGGGTTTTTCCAGCAGATGGTTCACGCTGAGGGTTTTGGCCAGGGGAGCATGGCGGAGAGACGAAGCCGTGAGTTCACGTCACCGCTCCAGGCTGAAAGCTGCAGCGTGTTGGGTGTCGCTCAGGATGCAACCGCGAGGCGGACGCGAGGTCTTTCTTGTGCTTATCCTCATCCCTTCCTGTTCTGCCTGGGGAATATGAGGGATGCTAACCCAGAAGGCTTGCTTAGGTAGTTGTTTGGCCGGACCCGACAGGTCAGCACTGCGCTTTAGGCGGGTAGGGTGGCTGGGAGATCTGCAGCGGTGGGGCTGAAATTCCGTCAGGCTTCCACCCGTTTTGTGAGGCGCAGCACACCGCACTGGAGAATGTTTTGACAAGGCATCTTGCCATATTTTCTTCAATCTACATACAGATGTGATAAGAGCTCTTTAATTATCTGTTTAAGATACTGCATGTGCTTATTAGAAACAGTGATTTTTAAATTTCCATCCTTCACACAGAGCCCCCTGCTGCTTTTCTTATTGTGGTCGCATGGGCTCACTTTTTGCCTTGAACAACCTTTGATTTTTAAATTAAATGTCAGCTGCAGTCTTGCACTGGGATCATGAGTGCCCTTAGAGAGCCTGGCAGTGCAGCTCCCTGCTTGCCTAACAGCAATCCCTTTGTATATGGCCAATCATAT